AGAGGCTGGAGCTGTGGGGATCCCTGAGGACCTTGTCCTTGGAGATGGCCACAAGCCCTCCCCCAGCCAGGAAGCAGCGTCTGTGTCCTGCCTGTGTGTTGCTGGCTGGATTGCTCCGGGCTCCCAAGTGCCTCTGGAGCGGCTCCTCTGGAGCTCCTTCAGGGCTGCGCCGCTGCCGGGCAGGTTGGCGGGGCTGGGGGAGAGCCGCAGGGGAGGGGGCGCTGGAAGGCCAGGAAGGGGTGAGGCGCTGCAGAGGCCCTGATGGGACAAGGGAGCGGGAAGCCTTGAGGGGAATCTGGGAGGGGGTGGGTGGCAGAAGGCTGCGAGGGGACAGACTGGGCAGAGTCCCCGAAAGGCAGGGTGGAGGGAAAAGGCCCCAGGACTTGGGGGGCAGAGGCCATAGGCAGCCCCCAGGCAACCACCTCCTTCCCTGCCAGCCGGCTGCTCTGGTGCTTTCCCGAGGCATCTCGCAGCCCTGTGGCAGAAGCCCTGGAGGCCTCAGCAGCAGGGTGGGCACAGCCCCAAGGGGGCCAGGCTGGCCTGGCTGGGGACAAGGAGGGCAAGGGGGCCCTGCTGGGGTACGTCTGCCGGGTGCTGCCGGCCAGGGGCAGTGGCACGGGCAGGGCTGGCGGCCAGCCCGGGCCCCCGCGGCTGCCCAGGCCACGGGGCTGTGGCCGACACCCCGCTGAGCCAGAGCTCTGGGCCCGCAGAGCTGCTGCCACCACGGGCAGGGCGCTGGGCTCCTCGGGCAGGCCTGCGCACTCGCTGCTGCCCAAGCGGCTCCGCGCCCCACACACAACAGCACCAGAGGCTGCCCAGGAGCAGCAGCACCCACAACGCCTGGGCCTCCTCACCCAGGCACCCACACCCGCCAGGACGCCAAAAGTGGCCAGACTGTGGGCACAATTGCACCCGCTTTGGCAAAAGGCTTCAGGCCAAGTGGCCACCACAGCTTTCCAGTGACTCCCCAGCCTCACAGCAACCCTGGGCAGCTTCAGCTGCAGCCTGTCCTCCTCACTGACTTCAATGGCCCTGCTTGAGGCTGGACGTGCCTTCCACACTCAGCTGTCCCCAGCCAGCGCCATTGGTGCCATCCTTAGAGACTCTGCTGGGACACCAGCCTCGGGCTGCAGCTGCTCAACCTCTCCTCCACGCAGGCACCTTCAAAACACGGGCATGGGCTTCTAAACTCTACGTCCAGCACTTGAGGGCAACAAAGGAAGAAGCAGCAGAAGCTGAAGCAAAGCAGGGCCTCATGTGGCGGAGCTTCAGGGATGGAGGCAAGGAAGCACTGTGGTGTCTGCTGAAAAGATGGCCCAGTTCACCAGCTCACACTTTGCTGCTGGACGCTCCTCCTTTGGTCCTGCCGGAGCCCATTCCCTACCAGTGCATGGCCCTGCCTTGTTCCTGGATCCAATCTCCGTGACCCCTGGCAACAAGTGGGCCCTGTGTCCACCTGAGAGCAGAAACTGGCAGAACGTCTCTGCTTCCAGCACTTCTCTTGGCTGCTCCTTCAGGTGGGTGGCACCTTCATGGGAGACACAGAACAACTTCTCATCCCAGACTTCTCCCTGTCCCCTGCACTTCCCCAATGGACTGGACATCAGCTGCTGGCCACAGCTGAGCACACAGCAACTGGAGTGTTGAACATGCCAGACTGGGCTGATTTTTTTTTTCCAGAAGGCAAGAAAATAAGCAAAAAGGACACAAGGAAGCTTGAGAGTCTCTCTGTCCTATCAACTTGTCCTATGAAACTCAGCAGCTGATGGTGGTTTTGTGCTGCTGCTAATCACTTCCACCCAAAAATCATGCCAGGAAGGAACAACAGCTTCTGCCTTCCGACAGATACCAAGTCTTGCCACCAATTGCTCCAGCTGCCGCTCCCAACAGCCACCTGCAAGAGGGCAGACCTCAGTGCCCCTTGGCTTTGGCTGCCCTCTAGCAGAGAAGTCCCCCGGGGGCACAGCTCTTTGGGGCAGGAGACGGGCAGCACCCTTGCCAGGACTCGGGGCGGTGGCAGGTCTCCTTGGGCCAGGACTTGCCACAGCTGCTGATTTGGGTGCAGCCCTGGACAAAGAGCTCCCAGCAGCATTGGTACCCTTGCCCACACCTTCCTTCTCGGTGTCACCCCCCGTGTTTAGGATGGCCACCAGCTGGAACTTCTCCCAAGGAGGCCGTGGCAGCTTGTGTGGAAGGCCCCGTGCCCTTCCCGCTGCGGCTGCGTCGGCGGCCGAGGGGGCTCCTTGTGCTGCCATGAGCAGGCACAGGAGGGGAGTGTTTGCTCATTTCTTGAGCCATTCCCACAGTTCAGGTCCAGCCAGATTAGATACTTCAGAGAGCGGATTCCCTCCAAGGTGGGGCAGGTTGGCTGGGCTGGGGGAGGCCCCAGGCCAGGTGGCACCGTGTCACAGGGCCCTTTGTGACACGCTGGGCGTGGCCGGTGGGATGGAAGGGGCAGGGTGTCCAAGGGCCCTTTATGACCCGTGGTGACAGAGGTGCTGCTGGTGACACGGCCGCAGTGTCAACAGTGCTCCTCGGAGCAGGCGACGGGACAGGACGGGACAGAGCGGAGCTGTGCGGAGCCCCCGTGCAGCCAACTCGTGCCTTGCCGACCCGGAGCGTTTTGGAGGATTTTCTCACTTCCAGGTGCCCTCGAGGCTTTTTTGCGTGACTTGGAGACCCGGAGTTTCTCCGAGGCGTCTCCAACCCCTTTGGCAGGTGCCCTCGAGGCCCTGCTGCAGGACTTGGAGATCCGGAGCTTCTCCGAGCTGTCTCCAATCCCTGTGGCAGGTGCCCTCGAGGTTTTTCTGCAGGACTTGGAGACCCGGAGTTTCTCCGAGGCGTCTCCAATCCCTGTGGCAGGTGGCCTCAAGGCCATTCTGCAGGACTTAGTGACCCGGAGCTTCTCCGAGGTGTCTCTCTTGCAGGTGCCCTCGACCCCAGACTGTGGCATGGCAGGGAGACGCTTCAGCCTGCTCAGGCTGCTCCGGAGGAAGAAGGAGGAGGAAAGCCCTGGGGCTGCTCCAGCACAGCAGCCTGAAGAGGTGCAGCAGGCGCAGCCCCCGCAGGAGGGTGAGTGCTGGAGCTGGGCCACAGGGCTGGTGGCTGCAGCCCCCTTGGCCTCATCCTGTCCCATCCCCTCTGGACATGCCCAGGGAAAGGGAGGGGGCAGAGGGGTTGGGGCTGATCTCCCGGCAGCCGTGCTCCATCCACTGGGCATCCTGGGGCTGGCCCTGCCTGCTCCTGGAGCCCAGGCCTGGGCTGTGTTCTCCGGCCTCTCCCGCACACCCTCAGCTCTGAGCGCGCTCGCTCTTTGCCAGATGCAGGCCAGGAGCGGACAGAAGAGCAGCTCCGTGCCCGTGGCCGCTTCCGCAGGGCAGCACAGGTACCTGCAGCCATCCCCTCCTGGGCTGGGCCTGCTGTCACTGCTCAGCCCAGCACCGCTGTCGCAGCCCTCCAGGGGACATCCCTCTCTTCCTTTCCTTCCTCCTGTAGCTGGTTTGCAGATTCATCAGGTGCATTTGGCGTGAAGAGACCACTTTCATGGCCATTGGGGGCACGGCAAACTTGGACCTCTTCAATGCCCAGACCAGCGCTGCCCTGCTGGATTTGCTTGTGGAGAGCGGTGTCTACAAAGGGAAGCAAGTAAGCAGCCTGTGGCCAGGGCTCCAGTGCCCCAGGGATGCTGTGGCCCCTCACGCCGGCTGCGCTGGGTCCCCTCAGCCTTTGAGACCAGCAGAGTGTGGTGGCAAGGGGAGCACTTCTTGGGGGAAGCTGGGCAAGTTGCTGGCTCTGGCAGCTCTCCAACTGTTCCATGTGTCCCCTCCAGGTGGCGGCCATAGTCAGGTGCATCCACCAGTGGCTCACGTCCAATGTGTCTGCTGAGCACAGGCTGGACAAGACTCTTGTCCTGCTGACCGAGGCACACCGTGTGGATGTTGCAGTGACCCTGCTGCGCTCTGCCCCAGCCTGTGACAGGTATGGGGCCCACCTGCCTTGAGGGCTCCCCTGCCTTTAGACCCCATCCCCCTGGGCAACCTGTCCCAAATGGTGTGCCAGAGAGATGGAGACTTCCAGGACACTCCAGCTCCTCTCTTTGCCAGCTTTGGCATGTCAGCCCCCAATCCTGAGGCCAGCCTGCCTCCCTGCCCCACAAGGCACCGTGGCTCTGTCACCTGGGCCCTGTAGATGCCCAGGCCACAGCGCTGTGTCCCAGACCCCCCTGAGCCAGAGTTCTGACTCCACAGAGCTGCTCACACCATGTGGAGGACGCTCATCTCCTCCAGAGAGACTAAGGAGCCGGTGCTGCAGATCCTCTTCCGTGCGCTGGAATTCTGGCCAGCGCACAGGACACGCACCTCTGATGGGGATGAGAAGCGATGTCTTTGCCCTGGCTGTGAGTTTTTTGAGCTGGCCTCTGCTCACCCCCAGCTTGCCTCTGGGATGCCTTTTCATCCTCCCTCACCGCTGCTTCTCCCTGCCCCAGGCACTGGGCTGCAACCCTGGCTTAGGGGCAAGTTCGGGGTCACCAGGCCGGGGGATCCCCGTGTGTCTCCCCTGGCCTCTCCCTGCCACGCTGGGGCCCTGCCACATGGACATCTGGGCCCTGAGAGCTGTCTCTGGGTGCTTTGTCTTTGGCAGGCAACTGTGGCACTCTGGGAGATCCTCCAGCTGCACTGGTGCCCCGGGGGAGTGAAGAACAATCTCCCCCGCCTCCTTCTGACTCTGCTCTTCCAAGTTTTCATCAGCACAGAGGAGATGTCAGAGGAGGTCGAGACCTTCTGGGGGCGATGCCTGCAGCAGCGCAGCCTTCCCCCCAACCCCAACAGGTGCTCCATCCCAGTCCTCTCTCCCTACCACGCCCTCGGGGCTGGGGCCGGGGCTCTGCGCCTGACCTGGGCTGTGCTCTGCACACAGGTTTGCAGTGCAGACCGTGAAAGCCCTGCTGTGCCGGCTGCTGGATGAGGACGTGGTGATGGTGATCCATCGCAAGTGTGGCTGGGACACGCTCCTCAAGGCTGACACCCACCACTATGCAGTGGGTCTGCTGGCCAGGTGAGAGCCCTTTCTCCCCCCTGCCCCCGGCATTTCTGCCCTGTGCACAGGGCACCCCACACAGTGCCCGTGCTGCTGGGCCAGAGGGCCTTGGCAGCCAGGGATGGCTGAGCAGAGTGGCAAAGGTGGAGAGGGGCGGCTGCACAGGAGGAGCCACCTCCCAAAGCGCCCATGTCCCCTCCCGGGCTGGTGGCCAAAGACCAGGCCTGTGTGAGTCAGTCCCAGGAGAGCTTTGCCCACCTGGCTCAGGGTCTCTGGCGCCTTTATTCCCCCTTGCAGGGAGCTGTGCCGTGTCTCCCGCTCCTTCTGCCGCAGCATCGCCGTCAGCCTGCTCCCGCGGCTCAGCAGGGAAGAGCCCCTGTGGGAACTGCCTGCCCTGGCGTTCCTGGTGGAGGTGAGCCTGATGGCGAGCGCTGCCTGGCCCAGCTGCCTCCCCCTCTCTGCCCTCTCACAGCCGCAGCCACCTGGGACGGTGCCTGCACCCTGTGCTGCTGCCTGGGCCCAGCCCCGGGCGGGTCCGGGCTCCTGCCGGCCGGGCACCCCGTCACTGCTCCCTGCCTTTCAGGTCCTGCACTGCCTGAACCCCAGACAATGTGGGCTCAGCGTCCTGCAGATTATTTCAAGGCACCTGTGGAGTGAGTGCCCCGAGAGGCGTCGCCTGGCGCTCCGAGGCCTGCTGGTGATCAGCAAGGCTCCCGCACTGGTGAGCAGGGGGCAGGGGCTGAAGCCGGGCCGGCAGCGTGCGGCTGTGCAAGGCAGTAGCTTGGCCTTGGCTGGCCTTTGGCAGCTGTGCCAGCTGCTCCCAGCTCTCCTCCTCCCCGTTCAGCTGCCCGACTCCTTTGGGACGCGCCTTAGGCCTCTGGGCCCCGCGGCAGCAGCGTGGGGCTGCACCACAGCATTGTGTTCCACACAGGCTAAGAGCATCTGGAGCCTGAATGAAAGCCTCCTGGAGCTACTGCAGGATGCAGACAGAGACGTGGTTCAGATGACCCTCTCTGCGTTGATCAATGTGCTCCACTTCAAAGTCATCCAAATATCCAGCCCCACTGCCCTGAAGTTACTTGAGGTACTGCGGCCACTCTTTGACAACGTAAGGCTCTGTGCCCCTCATCGTGGGCATTGAGTGCTGTCAGGAAACTTTGAGCCCAGTGTCTTTTCAGGCCTGTGCCCCGGTGGGCCTGGAGAAGCCAGGGCTGAGGTCTTTTGCTCTTCCTTTGCAGCAGGAGCACAGCCAGCTGCAGCAGCTCTCCATGGTCCTCTTCCGGGAGGTGATGGAAGTGACAGAGAGGAGCAAGAGCCTAAAGCCACACGTGTACCTGAGGCTGGTGCCATTCTACTTCAACTGGCACGATGAGAACCAGCGTGTGGCAGAGGTGAGGACTCGTGGGCTCTGGTGTCCCCATGGCAGGAGGCTGCTGTGCCACCTGCCCTGGCCCACGGTCGCCTGCAGCCTCCTCCTGGCCTTGGTGCAGGGATGCGGGTGCTGTGCCCTGGGCTGCGGTGCCATGGCCCGCTCTCTGTTGCTCTGCAGGCCTCTCGGGAAGCACTGTTTGGTGCAGCCAGGTTCCTGAAGT